GCTTGGCGTTCCGGGGTACGGCAAAACGGTCCAACCTTGGACCGTCCCACGGCCGAAACAGCTAGAGGCTACCCACTGGGGTATCAGCTACTCCGTGTTCTGGAGACGGAGCCGCCCTGAAAGGGCATCGCCAGACTTTCTCACCCCTGGAAGGTGGTATGCGATTAGCTCCACATTGTATTCCAGGCACCAAAGGAGGATTTTGCTCCGCTAGGACTGACAACGATGGGGAATGCGTCCCCCCTCCTTCTTGAAGGAGACCACCGCTGCGTTGACTATGTGCGGAGCAGGACTCTGTGGTCTCGAACTACGGGTAGAAAGCGTGGTAGTGCTAAGTACACTGCTCTCAGTTCGAGCCGGTTGATATGGTAGTCTCGAAACTAATGCGGGGGCCATATCCTTGGGCTTGTTGGCCCAACAGATGCGCTCCCCAACCCTAGGGGGAAGTATCTGTTACCAGAGTCATACATGCGGTGAGCGGGCCCAAGGGGCTCCCCTGTCCGAGGTTGGCCAGTGATGACCACCAGAGCAGGGCTTCCTTCACTTGGTCCGCGATCGAAACCCGCCTATCTAGTTCCCATAGGAGAGCTCGGCGTTATAACAAGCGTTATACAGGGCGGCTGCGTAGTGCGGCCTGGGGAACGACCCTTCGAACCGAGGTCATCATTTCGATGATCCGTATTAGTTCACGGAGGGACACCGAGGGAACGCTGACTAGGCATTCGGCTAGGCTGCTTAGCGCTAAGCAATACGCTTGAAATAGCTAAGCCAAGCTTACCGCTGTGTCAAGACTCCATGCCCAGGGACACCAACTGCACGTTGGGTCGAGGTGGGACTTGTCAAGCCCAACTGGTGAAGTAAATCCCGTGTTAGCCTGATGCGTTTGGCTATTACCCCTTGTCCGGGTTGTTGGTAACCGGAAGTCTGGGTACAGATTGAGGTGTACTGACATCTGGTGAAGCAGCAGCACTATCTGTTTCATCACTCTGGTGAACACGTAGGGCGCTGTGCCTAACCCGAACGGGGGGCACCCGAAATTCGAAAACTTGACCCAGCGGGGCGATTCGAAGGAGATGGCAACTCGCTGGGTGCATCGGTACGTGCAGGTAGGCCCCGCTTAAGTCTAGCGGAGCCAGCCAGTCAAAACGGTGGATGGAGAGAAGAACCCTGAATCGTGTCTCCATGTGGAACTGATCGAAGAGCACGTACTGATTCAGTCTGCCTAGGTCCAAAACTGGACGCCTGCCACTTGTAGATTTGGTACTACGAACATATTTGGGTAGAAGCCTGGCCTTAGTTCCAGCTGATGTACCCTGTGTATGGCGTCTTCCCTAGCAAACTGCTACTTCCTGTCTGATTGCTTCCGCCTTGCAGGAGTCCCCTGGCAGTGCCCAACAGGGGGGACACTGACGGGGGGAAATGGAGATTTCAGCAGATGTCACCACCTGGAAAGATCCAGGGATCGGTCACCCGCCGTCTCCAAACCGGACTACACCGGCGCAATCTGTGTACAACAGGGATATGTGGCCATGTGTTCGGCAGTTGCGAAGGGGGGTGCTCCCTTCCCCCATGAGGTGAGTTCCCCAAGGCCTGAAGTAGTCACTAAATTGTGACCTGGCCATTCACCCCGAACATGTGGACCTGGCCAAGAGAGCCAGGCGACACTAGGGGGTGTCGCATGCAGATGTGCGGTGGCCCACCCGTAAAAAAGTCGCCTGGTCTAGGAGGCTGGTGCGTTCTGCCTCCAAGGTCTCCAGACTGCTGGTCACGCATAATGTGCTCTAGCAACTCTGCCCTCAGGGCTGGATGGGTCGTCTTCAATTGGCAAAGACACCCATGAAACGCGGCTATCCCCCTTTGCCGGATTTGCCAAATTCGTGGTACCGGGGTCTGGGGAAGGAGCCTTGGAATCCGGTTGGGGGTGTTTTGGTCTCATCCCACGCTATGGGGTCTGATCCCAAAACCACACCGACCGGGTAGCGTTTGGTCCAGTGGGAAGTGTTGCCTAATGTTATCCCCACCCGGGGGGCCTTAAGCATTACATCCTCCGCGGCTGACCAACGCCGCCCATCAACACCGTTTGCGTGCTCTGCGCCCCACTCCGCACTCAGGCGGACAGGGAGAGACTTGCCGACAGGGTTGCTTTGGATTCCGACGCCTGTGATCCCATAAGCGTTGAAGCAACCTTAGGTGATCGCTTTAGGATCAAGGGTGGGGGTATATACATCGTATCACTGGGATCGATGATACTCCGCCTCACCCCAAAAGCGTGGCTCACCAAGTCATGCAGATGGAAGACTCTGAGGGACCGCCCGGAGTACCGGCTGTATCCGACGTGAGCGAACTGCATCTCCTTTCACTTTAAATATGTGAGAGGGAGCGTGTTCGACTGTGCGTCTCATGACAGGGTCGGTTCCCTCTGGGGACGCCGTGGGTCGGTAAGAAAGGAGTCAAATCCCACAGCGGGCACCAGACACAAGGAAAAATTCGTTATCGTTGTACCGTTACCGCGTGACGAACCCTAGCTGGCTGAAAGTAGGGGGGTCCGTGTGCCCTGCCCTGAAAGCCCTGCCCCGAGATCGGAGACTTGGCTGCCAGCACCCCATTGGCATTCAGTGCCCTAGGATCCAGAGAAGGACCGGTGCAATTAGCCTGAGCCTCGGCCACCCCCCCAAAATAGTGGGAGAGCCGTGCCTGGGAACGGGGGTTCCCCGGAAGAGACGTGTTTGAGGGGACACAGTGGAGACAGCTCGCTCCGACTGCGTCTGATCTACCCGGCCTGCCAGGGACGCAATTGCCCCGACAGTTCTTTGACCAAAGCCCTCAACTCGGAGGCAAACCCGGCGCCGTGCGAGGAAGGGTCCACAAAGAGACCCGCAATGGGCCCCATAGGAGGAAAGCCTCCAGGGGCACAGCCTCGCTGCAGCCGGTAAAATCAGGTAAAAACACCGCCTGAAAAAACAGACTGTGAGGATATCCTCCGATCAGCGGGGAGACCGAGAAAAATATCAGTACCTCCGCCGTCGGGCCTCTTACTCGACGCCCCGGTACATGAAGTACCGGTAGCCGAGCGCGAGGACTTTCCACTCATGCAAAACACGCAACTCACTTTAACCGATTTGTTTACTGGACTCGCGACCTTGCTGTGACGCGGTCAGTCTCAGCGATTTTGATGGCTCTGAAAGAAAATCTCAGGCCTCAGAACTCCAGTAAAAAAAAAACACGCTTTCATGCAAAACCCCCGAAACCCGCACGTAGCCACGACAAAGTATCTCGGATGCGGGTTCTATGCTGGTAAATTCTGAATATAACCACTGCACGGTCGACTCGAAACACGAGGAGACCGGAAAGAAAACGGCAGCGAGCCCTGGTGCTGTCATTACATCTATATTTTGCTAAATACATTGAAAATAAAAGACGACATGCATGAGGGAAACGAATCACAGTTGTAAAAGGTGCCGCCATGAAAACCAACTGGTTACATAGTGGCGCCGGATTTTAATTTCTTTGTTGTGAAAAATACTACACACAAAGGGGGAAACGACACGAGGGTAAAAATGACAAGGAAAACTTATCCTACCAGCTACAATGTCGGATGCCGTGCAGCGGCAACAACCCAAGCTATAAATCCGGACAGGAAAAAAAGCAGGCGATCCAGCAGAGCTCGCTAGATTTCATCTCCAGAGAAATTATGAGTGATGGACGGCTACCTGTGGCGCTGCCAGGTGGCCTCGGTCACGTGGGTTCGTGACGTAAGGGGTAAAAGAATCTTGAAGTCATGGGGCTTCCCCTATCCTAGATTCTATCTCTCCGTCACCGGCAGAATCGCTGATTAATGCCTACAGTTCAAAATAGTCATTTTGACTGACCGGAGTCTATGGTGGGTAATTGAACGTAGTGAATTTAAAGATATCATAACAAAATGAACAAATCTGAGAGAGGTCCACATGTAGTACCTATATATGTAACATCAAAGCAATTGGACTTGCGGTTTTTAACAAGAAGTTGAAAATATCACTTTTACCAAAAATGACAAAAATATTCACCAAAATTAGAGAATTGAAGATATCATCATGAAATGAACAAATCTAAGAGAGGTCTACCCAAGGTACATATACACCAAGTATCAAAGCATTCAGGCTTGTAGTTTTCAAGAAGAAGTCGAAAAAGTAAAACATTGACACGGACGACGACGGACAATCACTCATATGATAAGCTTCGCTCGACAAAGTCAACAGCGGAGCTAAAAAGTTGACACAGATGATGGACAATCACTCATATGTGTTGTTCCGCTCGTATACTTACCAACAATTTTTCCAGAACTGAATTCCCCAGTCCGGGAAGTTCCATAGACGATGTATTGATCAGGATCAAGTAGTTTTTGTTTCTCCACACACTGGTAAATAAAATCCATGGATACGACAGGAATGTCATACTTTATGGCTTGTCTCATTTTGTATGATGTGTCAGCCTTCTCTGGGTTACTCACGACAAGGTGGGTAGTCTATAGGAACAAACATTTTAATATTCAAACTACAAAAGCTGATCACATACAACACATGGACTTGTTATTTCACTGTCAGCAAAGTTGACTAATTAGTGGGAGCATTGTAAACAAAATACCCATTACATTCATCTTTATGAATATTTATAAATTTCACAATTTAAACTCGGTTATTGGCCAATGGAATATTATTGAAATACTTTTAAATGACATTATTGCAGACTGTGCTTATTGATTTAAACCATTATTAATATTCATAAATACATGTATTTTTAAAAATCAAAGAAAAGGTTTTTTTGTGAAAATGATTGCATACCTCATAGACCCCCCCCCCTCTCCCAGTTTTCTGTGGAAAAGGCCTTTAAGGTGAACTCAGAAAGAGGCGTCTGTGGAAGAGGCCTTAAAGGTGAACTCAGACAGAGGCTTCTGTCTAAGAGGCCTTTAAGGTGAACTCAGAAAGAGGCTTCTGTGGAAGAGGCCTTTGAGGTGAACTCAGACAGAGGCTTCTCTGGAAGAGGCCTTTGAGGTGAACTCAGAAAGAGGCTTCTGTGGAAGAGGCCTTTGAGGTGAACTCAGAAAGAGGCTTCTGTGGAAGAGGCCTTTAAGGTGAACTCAGAAAGAGGCGTCTATGGAAGAGGCCTTTAAGGTGAACTCAGAAAGAGGCTTCTGTGGAAGAGGCCTTTAAGGTGAACTCAGAAAGAGGCTTCTGTGGAAGAGGCCTTTAAGGTGAACTCAGAAAGAGGCTTCTGTGGAAGAGACCTTTAAGGTGAACTCAGAAAGAGGCTTCTGTGGAAGAGGCCTTTAAGGTGAACTCAGAAAGAGGCTTCTGTGGAAGAGGCTTTTAAGGTGAACTCAGAAAGAGGTTTCTGTGGAAGAGGCCTTTAAGGTGAACTCAGACAGAGGCTTCTGTGGAAGAGGCCTTTAAGGTGAACTCAGAAAGAGGCTTCAGTGGAAGAGGCCTTTAAAGTGAACTCAGACAGAGGCTTCTGTGGAAGAGGCCTTTAAGGTGAACTCAGAAAAGGGCTTCTGTGGAAGAGGCCTTTAAAGTGAACTCGGACAGAGGCTTCTGTGGAAGAGGCCTTTAAGGTGAACTCAGAAAGAGGCTTCTGGTTGCAGCACAAAATTCACTATATGCACCATTAACTATTTTGCACATACAAAATAGACTTTGACATCCAATGGAGTATAGCAAATCAAAATAGACTTTGACATCCAATGGAGTATAGCAAATCAAAATAGACTTTGGCATCCAATGGAGTACAGCAAATCAAAATATTTATTCTCCCTCATCATTTGCCAACTTTTTCATTTTCGATTCCTTAACTGTTGCAAATCACATTGCTGTATTCACTCTATTGATAGTGCATTTCCACACAAGTGCACAAATCATATTTGACCTTGAAAAATGCAACTCATCTATTCAAAGCACCCTAAACTAACCAAATATTGTCTTTATTGTATGTTGGATCATTTTTTTGATGTATGTTACTCTCTCTGATCTGTTATTTGTATTATCAGTAAATCATTTCTTTCCATTTAATTCTAATTAATATTTTAGGATTTCAACCGGTCACTGGTAGCATAGTGGTTGTCGCATCAGACTCATGATCGGTAGACCCAAGTTCAAATCCTACCTCAGGTTGAACAACAAAAGGGTTGACCCCCTTACTCTGGGTGAGTGTGCCACAGACTCAATGGGAAGGCCAATTCCACTGGCCGAGATTCATTCACTAACAAATGCGACTTTGGGCGAACCTTGGGTAAGGTCCGCAGGTGCTTGTGTTCGACCGAGCCTGGTTGACGCCAGGATAGCGCATTAAATTGCCATTTGATAGAAAGATAGCCGCACATCCCTGTCATGTACTCCCAAACATGAATACGACTTCTGTGTCAAAAATGCACTATGTGTCAGCACTTGCAATTTGCACATACAAAGAAAAGTCAGGAGAGACAACAGTGACATTCTACTGTCGCCTGGCACAAAAAATATTTAAAAAAAAAAATATTTTAGGATTTCTTCCATTAAAGGTAATTTTAGATTTGTAAACAATCTTACCTTTTTAGTGATGATATAAGAGATAATACCATCATTTTCTGTAATTTTCTTCTTTATTTCTTGTTTCTTTTTAAACTGTATACTTGTACCAAGTTCAAGTGTAATCTGACACTTGGTAAATATCCCCATTGTGAATATTGTGACTTGGAATTCACTGGAAATATGAGAAAGCATACAATTTAGTGTACTACCAATGAGTTGTACTTTAAGATAACAAAAACAAGAGTGACACTTATGATGTCTACTCTCTTTCATTGATAATAAATAAGAGAATGTTTGTGTGCTGCATTTCATGTGCATACACATGCTACTAACTTGGGGGTGGCTTTTGTCTGTGGATCAAATAAAACACAAATATACGTATTTTCACAAAAATATATTTTGTGGGCTGAATGATTAAAGATAAAAAAGTGTTCAAAGTTTGAAGGTACTGTTGAAAACTCCTTTTTTACTTATGGCACACAAGCTGTGATAATGGAGGTTTCATTTCAGTGTCCTACGTAAATAATTCAAGTATACATCAAATAACTGGACACACCCACTGGAGTTAGTGAGTTGTTGAATGACATAGATCATTACATCTCTTCAGTTCACAATGTTTGAGGTAGTATTTTGGAATCATTAAGGTGGTTCAACTTGAGCAACTACATCGTTGATATTCAGGTTGCTTACCAATTATTTCGTTTTTATGGAGAAAATTATATAATATATTTTTACCAAGGAAATTATTAATATTTATTAAAGTTATTGTTCATATATGAGTTATTGAACACTCTACATAGTTTGTGATTTCATTCAGTTCAAATTCAAGTTCATAATTCAAATTTCTTGTCAAATCAGTCACATACAGAATTTAAAAATAAAAATTTTACAATGTTGAAATGAGACGTCTTTATCTTAGTGTTCCATCTCTTTTGATGTAACACCTGGGTTGGGTGCTCTACTTTGAGACATTCCAAATATGGTGTTTTTCATCTAATAGTCTTCAACTGTTGGACTACCAATGATCAAATATCTTGAATAAACAGCTTGCCTTTCTGGTATGTATTTTACGAAACATTTTGCTTTGTATTTAAGTGACCCCCCCCCCCTCCCCCATCTGACCAAAATCAGTGTGTATGCTTTATCGTTGTTTTTATCAAAATGGAATGCTATGCAATGGTGGTATCTCCTAAGTTGTTATGGTACAGTGTATTTTGCAAGTGTGGCTGCCATGGTAACAAGATTAAAAAGAAAATTAAAAAGATGGGGATCTCAATACTTGGGTTCACACACAGTTTCTTATAAGTGTTGAAATCATAGCCTTTTGACACCATTTTTGTAATTTCAGCAATCCATGGAGGCTTTCAGACAACGATGTTGCATGTTACATCTTTAGACTATGAACAAGCCAATAATAATGTATAAAAGTGTTAAAACCGAGTAGTTTAACAAACAGTCAAAATAATAACTTTAACTGAAAATTCAACATCTAGTTTGAAATAATAGATAAAGTTCGAAATAAGTTAAAAATAAATGCAGCTCATCCAGTAATGCCATTCAAGTCATGTTTTGGTTGTTACATCATAGTGGTTACGCTTGTGCTGATAACCTTTACCCCCCCCCCTCCCCCCCCCCCCCAATATTTTAGCTCTGCAATTTTAAAGCTTTGATGTCTTGGTATTACATTAATTATTTGACATTATGAATCAAGGTAAATATGTACTAAAAGTGTCAAAATGTTTTTTTTGTTATTTTTCAAATTTCAATTTGAACAAAGGCATTGCAAGATAGTCACATAGATACACCAGTTACTATACTAGTGTACATTACTGTTTTTATTACTGATTTGTCTGTATCAAATTATCTCATACATATTCATAAAGAGATAATGACATACCAGGTTGTATCACATCAGGAAATAAGACCAACCTTATGCTTGCCTAAATTTTGTGTGTGAACACAAACTTAAATATTTAGGCCAACCTAAAACACTCACGCCTAGAATGGGTTATTGCCAGGGCCAGAAATGTTAATCCCTTAGTTAGGACGACCCAACTACAATGAGAATACATAATCACTATTCTCGTTGACTGAATATGCAAATAAAATTTGTGAGCTTTGTTGCACAGTGTCAAAACATTTTCACAATCACAACAACGATGACTGTTAGTGTGAGAGAAGTTAATTTGACTGTCAAGAAAATAAAATTATTGATCATTATATGAACAGAATTTAAAACTAATTAAATCACAGCCTGATAAGAAGATACTAAAATATTGAGAATTGAGACCGGTCACCAGTAGCATAGTGGTTGTTGCATCGGACTCATGATCAGAAGACCCCAGAAGACACCAAAAAGGGTCAACCCCCTACCCTGGGTGAGTGTGCTACAAACTCAATGGGAAGGCAATTAAAGTCCACTGGCCGAGATTCATTCACTACGAATGTGACATTGTATTTACTAGTAAATTTTAATTTTGTTTTTTCAACAAATAACAAATTTGGTCAGGTTTCAGCAAAATAACTGTGTGAGAGGCTACTGTAAATAACTGTATTTCCTCTAGCAATTTATTTTTACTATAGATCCTGTAAAAATATCACTTTTCAAAAATCAAATTTATCAAAAAACAAAGTATTTTACAGTAACTCAAATCAATGCTTTCCAACAACCATTTTGACTGGCTTAGAGCCTACAGGTTCCTGATAGTCATTCATGCAATTACATTATTTCTGCTTTGGAACTCCATGAAACGAGCTTACTCTAATCACAGTCCTGCAACACATTCTTGAGGAAATAATTTTAAGGTCACATTATACTTGATAAATTCTGCTGAGTGTGCACAATTTAGGAATTGTATTGCTATATCAATACCATACACTCCTGCCAGCTATGACTGGTGTTGACAAGTAAAGGGTGAAATACATCGCATACGTGAACCTAAGTTATTGTGGATCACAAGGATATTAGTTGATCGGTGCAATCAAAAGTACAGAACACCTGGTCACGGTGTACGGTAAGGTATTCAAGGCAACTTCTAAGTTGTGTATGACCGTGCAAATACTAGTACATCCGTTTTCAATACGGAAAACTGCCGTTCAAGTTGTTTTACCTGCCTGAATAGTAGTCTTCGAATTACTAGTACTAGTATTAGGATTTGCCAGGGTAGCATACCACGCCCCCACCAAAAAAAACCTGCAAATTATTTCCGTGTACGCAGGACACTCTCACTGACAAAATTTAACGATCGCTTGATCCGAGCGTGTCACACAGCATGAACATGCGATCATTGTTGTGTGCCTACCTGATATGTACTTCTGTGTAGTTGAAAAGCAGATCTCCAAATGCCCACGTTTGTTTAAGTTTTAGCAAGTTTTGTCATCATTTGTAGCGTCACCACATCCACATCGTACGGCATTGACTCACAGTTCTTGTTTAGGAAAGTGACGTCACGCACACGCTAGTATTGTGTATCCGGTTCGTGGGTCAAAGTTCACCATTCGATCATAAAATCACCGGGGTAGAGTTCACGTTGATAGAGAAACTGTTTACAGTACACATTAGGAAAACACACAACAAATCTACTATAGACATTAATATATAGACCCGGAGATGGCATAAAAATATACATATTTTTCTTTCACATATTGTTTTGTATAATACTTTCGAGATGTCTATTTGGTCTAAAGTTTTGCTTCTCTATGTGACTATTTTTTCTTTCTGGACCTCTACAGTAACAACCAAACTTACGTATGGATGTGAAAATACTAGTGCATCCGTTATCAGAGGGTCGGCAAGGGGTATTTTCGTAATAATGTAATTTAAATAAATAAAAAACGTAAATTCGTAGACATGGGCAAGATGTAAAATGTAATCAGCTATTTTATTCGTCCGTAATTTGTACAAAGATATTTTTGTAAGCATATAAAGCATGTTCCGAAATAAATGTTGTAATTCGTACGCAATTTCCAATTTTGATTCTTAAACACAAATTATCAAAAACATTATAAAAATGTAAAATGTAATTAGGAATTTGCTTTATCTGTAAAGTGTAAAAACATTCATTTTATTCATTAAACTTTCATTTTATTTCTTGTAAAAACGTAAAATGCCGTTTTTATTTCCTGTAACATGTACCAGAGCTACCCTTATCAATACGAGAGGGTAGCATGCCACGCCCCCATCCAGAAACAAAATGCGAATTATTTCCTTGTCCGATACTCTCACTGACAAATTAACGAGAATTCTCAGGAAATCAATGACGTATAGTCTGTCAACACGGCAGTCCTTTTTGGCGGCAATAGTGTGAACCCAAACAGCGGAGAAGAACAGACATTTTGGAGCAAAAAGTGTTCTGCAATTTGCATATTATAAAGTCCGAAGACTACTAGTATTTAAAATGTTAATCAATCATTCATAAATAATTACAGAATAATGTGTAGAACATCTGCATTTCAATCATTTTTGTTAAATATAGGTTTTTCTTGGCTCGGTTTAGACTGAAGTCTATTCACTTACTGTACTACTAGTACGCACCGTGAGGATCGTTGATTTATCTCATCTGTTCGTGAAAACAGTCTTGTGAGGGCCAGAAAGTTCACACGTTCTCTGAGAAGGTGCCATAGGGACACATGTCTATTCAACTGAATTAAGGAATGAAACAACTTGAAGGACAGCACGAGAGGACAACAAAATAGGCTAATTTAGCAAACCACGTGTGAAATCGCATTTGGTGTTTTCGGGTAATATCCAATAAATATATTTTTAGTCATAACATAGGAAAGCATGATCAGGCAAAACGTTATTTTATAATATTTGTACACGTGACTTTACCAGCTGGAATCTTAAACTTTTCCACAGTTCTATTCTGGCACACCAGAACATTTCCGTCATATACTGGTATTCGGCTCAGCTATTCCTGTGGTGTGGTGTCGGATATACTATTTAGCTGTTACTACTGCCCAGTAGTCACCGATAAAATAGTTCGTCGGTGGGTACACAAGAAATGTATTATGCCTGGCAAAGTATAATACAGCGTACAATATATTTTGGATTGATGTACCCTAATAACAACTTATTTTTAACGTTGTTGATAAATTCTGGTTTTAATTGTTCATCTTTTCCTCGCTAAATATGTACATGCCAAGTG